GGTCAAGGGCATGTACCTGGGTTGCGGGCACATCCCCAGTAGGAGGTGTGCAGGAGGCAGCTGGTCGATGTTTCTCTCTCATCGATGTTTCCAACTCTCTATCCCTCTCCCTTCTTCTCTGTAAAAAATCAATAAAAATATATTTTAAAAAATAAAAGAAAATCAATACAAACAAACAAAGGCACATAAAAGGTTGGGCCACGACAGCAGGCTGCAGGTGGTATGTGTCCTTCTCCCTTAAAGGCTATTTTTGATCCCATGCGGGTCTAGGAAGGGGCAGAAGTTATCGGTCACCAACCTACAAGAAATACTAGGAGGACCTAATGGCAAAAAGGGGAAGCAGTGAAAAGCAGGGGGGACATGTAGAGTCGTGTCTTCAGCACCTCTCGGATTCCTGCTTTCCCCAGCACCTTTCTCCATCCAGGGCAATGAGCACCTTGCTCGGCAGCCTGGGCTCTGTCCAACTAGTCATTCACTCACTCCAAAATATTAATCAGCACCTACCACGGGACCTGGTTCGGTGCTTGGTGTAAATCAGTGACTAGAACATTACCATAGTTCAGCGCTCTCATTTGAATTTCCTGCTAAGTGTTTTTATAACACTTTCCCTTGATCTTTTTCATCTTCCCCCCTATTTCTCTGCTCTGTTTTCTTTTTCTCTTATTTTATACATTTGACTGTGGAAAAATGGGAGTAGGACTTTCACTGGGTTTTGTTAATTTTCTCACAACTGCCAGTTTTTTTGTACTCAGGGGACATCCCATATAATAAAACCCTAATATACAAATCGACCGAATGGCAGAACGACCAGTTGCTATGATGCGCACTGACTACCAGGGGGCAGATGCTCAATGCAGGAGCTGCCCCGTGGTGGTCTGTGCGCTACCACAGCGGGAGCACTGCTCAGCCAGAAGCCAGGCAGGCAGACATCCCCAGAGGGGTCCTGGACTGCAAGGCGGTGCAGGCTGTGCTGAGGGACCCCAGTACACAAATGTTGTTCACCAGGCCTGTAGTTAAAACATAAAATATACCTAAGTTAAAACCTAAACACCTACATGCTTAAACATGAACTCACTGAAGCCTTCTGTATGGCAGTGAAGAAAAAGCAAACAGCAGTGCTTTGTCTCACTTACCAATTCTGTAAATGAGAACTTTGCTGCCAGTGGGGTCTCTGTCTCTCAGGACTCCAACGTAGCCAGCCCTCAGAAGGCCAAGGATACTTCTGGGATGGAGATCTGCACTTATTTCAGGACATTCTGCTCTCCACTTATAATAGTTTTTTAGTAACTGAAAAACACAATAGAAATTGTCTACAGATAGTGCACGTGGTAAGCATTTCGTCAAACTGGCAGGAAAGCCTTGGCATTATGTATGGCCTTTGCCAGCCATCATGTCAGGATTTTAATCTAGGGTATCCTTTTAGTATATAAACTAAAAGTTCCCATCATCAAGGATCTCAGATGAGAGGAGTTCATCAAAAATTCAAAGTTGAGTAATTCTTATTTGTCTCCTGTGGTGGATAGTCTTCCAAAGATAAATGCTGACCCACCCTCCTTCCCCCCTACCCACACACCCACCAATGCACACATGTCATCAAGATAAGGAATCCATTTGATTACTTCCCCTTGGACCTAGGCTGGCTTTTTTTTTTTTTTTTTTTTAGAATGTTGGGTAGTGCATGCAGCCCTGTGATATTCTCCAATAAGGGCTGCTCTCTCCAACCTTTTTTTTTTTAAATATATTTTATTGATTTTTTTTTTTACAAAGAGAAAGGGAGAGGGATAAAGAGTTAGAAACATCGATCAGCTGCCTCCTGCACACCCCCCATTGGGGATGTGCCCGCAACCAAGGTACATGCCCTTGACCGGAATCGAACCTGGGACCCTTGAGTCCGCAGGCTGAGGCTCTATCCGCTGAGCCAAACCGGTTAGGGCTCTCCAACCTTTTTTTAAGGAGGATTGTATCAGCAGAGTCTTCTTAGGCTGGCTTTACATCTTGCTTTGACTAATAGACTTTGGCAGAAGTGACACCGTGCTAGGTTTTAGGAAGCCAGACACCATGTAAGATTACGAAATGAAAGTACATGCAGAGAAGCCCTGGGGGACGAGAGGCTGTGACTTAGATGGTCTGACCTCAGCCAAGGTCCCATCTGATGCAATGTGGAGCAGAGATGAACAGCCCCGCTCAGCCCTGCCCGAATAGGGGAATCACAAACAAATAATAGCTGCGGTTTAAGCCACTAAATTTTGGAGTGATTGGTTACTTGGCAATAGGTGGCTAGCACATCCACCTTTGGTCTTTTCGAAATAAAGAATGGAAATTAATCTAATGGATTAACTCCACAAATATGTTTGGAATATGTACAATGTTCCACACACTGTGTTAGGTACTTGAGTTAAAGCAGTGACCAGAGTGGATCCCTGATTTCGCTGGAGGTGATGTATTGGTGACAACTGGCGCACACAGGCCATGCTATGTAGTAAAAAGTTCAGTTCCCAGGCTGCCTCTTCAGAAAAGCCTTGGTGTCACCACTTATTACCTATGTGATCTTGATAACTATTTCTCAATATCTGCCTTCTAGAGTTATGTGTAAAGCATACATGGGCATAATGAATACCGTTAGTATTGTCATAATGGGGAAGGTGATTTGAGTTAATTGGCTCATATAACTATTTAGTGCAGGTTTACATTAAAGGTAAGTAGAACGTTTTGGTTTTTATTTTCTTCCCTACAAAAAGAGCTAAATAAATTATACAAAGGAACATCTGTCTAAACCACTGCTCTACTTTCTACAAATAGAAAAACAACAAAAATGGATTTTGTTAATAGTGGTATGCATTCAGAGAGACTATGGAGTGGTATGGCTGGAGATTAGGCCGTGACAAAATACGGTTTGAAGGAATCCCATTTTCTTTTTCCCCAAAGAACCACCAGTAAGGGTTACTCCACATTTACAAATAATAAAAACATTGCCAGTGTATTGTGGAGAATATTAAAATCAAATTACACATTTAAAACTTACTATATTTACATTTTCTTCATGATTTTCAGCAGTCTCAATTATTCTAAGATGTCAATATATTTGGATTTTAAGAGATCTATTAGAAATGTGGAACTAAAGTTCAGATGAAAGGACACATTTTATATTTGAGAGTCATTGGAATAAACATAACTGTAACTACAAAGTAGTAATTGCCTAGAAGAGAGAATACAAATATAAATTTTAAAAACCAAGTAAAGGGTAGAATTCTGAGTCATGGGGTATGCCAATGGCTGGGGATGGATGGAAGAGGAAGAGAGAAACTGGTTGGATTATAGGAGAAACACCAATATGGTGCACAGGGGAGGGAAAAGCCATCTGAGTTGT